CCTTAAATTTGCCCCCACAAAACCATTTAATAAAATTTGATACATATAAAGGTTTAAAAGAAAATTATGTTTAAAATGTATTTTCTCCAAGTCCCCTATTACTAGAATAGAGTCTAATGTTGAATATAGTGAAATTATTCATACAGATTTAAAGGAAGCTTCTTCATTCTTTCCCAACCACCTAGTGTCAGAAGAAATGGTTGCATTTGAAAAAATGGTAATAAGAGACATGCAAAAAATAAGAAAACCTAATAAATATAAACTAAATTTGGGAAGTGATGAAATAAAAGTATTAAAAGAATTCAAAAAAGATAATACAGTGTTTATTAAGCCCGCTGATAAGGGTGGTGGAATAGTAGTAATGGAAACTACTAAATACACTGAGGAATCCCTGAGATTACTAAGTGACGTAAACACATTTAGGAAATTAAACAAAGATTCAGCTAATGATTTTAAAGTTACATATACAAAACTATTAGATAAGGGAAAGTCCCTAGGCATTTTAAATGAAAAAGAGTTCAAATTTCTTAATATTCCACACCCTAGAATTCCAGTATTCTATCAACTCCCCAAGATACACAAAAACAGGGAAAACCCTCCAGGTCGACTAATCATTTATGGAATTGTGTCAATTTCTAGCCGTTTGTCACAATATATTGACAAATGTTTACAACCAGCAGTGCAAGGAAGCCCAAGCCATTTAAAGGATATGTTAAATGTTTTACAAATTTTAAAAGATCAAAAGTGGGAGGAGAATTACTATCTAGTGACGGGTAATGTGAGCTCCTTATATACTATCATTACGCATGGGAAAGGGTGTGCTGCTACTAGACATTTTTTGGAACTATATAGATATTTCCCCCAAATCCAGATAGATTTCATTATTGAAGGTATTACCTGGATACTCAACCATAACTATTTCTGGTTTGGAGAGGATTTCTATGCCCTACAGTGTGGAACGGCGATGGGCACCAGGTTCACTCCCAGCTATGCAAACCTGTTTATGTCCCATTGGGAGACCTGTTATGTATATGGGGATCATGGCTGGGGGCAGAACCTGGCGCTATACCACCGTTATATCGACGATATACTCTTTATTTGGAGGGGAGATGAGATCTCCCTTCAGGATTTCTTAATATTTTTGAATACTAATGACTGGGGAATCACACTAATTAGTGAGCATAGTCAACTAGCCATTAATTTTTTAGACGAATATATATATTGAAAATGGCCAAATTAAATCAAAGACTCATTTTAAAAAGGTTGACGTCAATAGTTATATAGAACGAAAAAGCTGCCACTTTTCACCATGGTTGCTTAATGCACCAAAAGCTCAACTATTGCGAATGAAACGTAATTGTACAGAAATTAGCACATTTGAAACCCAGTCTGAAATAATTTTAAAGAATTTTAAGGATAAGGGGTATCAGGAAAATCTTTTGAGAAAATCCCTTGAAGAGGTACAAGAAAAAGATAGACTAAGCCTGCTCCAGTACAAACAACCTGTTAAACTTGGAGATAATATGCAAGTATCCTTTATATGTGACTTTAACTCTAAAAGCCAAATTTTTAAGAAAATCATGAATAAGCACTGGCCAATTTTAAAAGAGGACCCCTTTTTGAATACAATTCTGTCTGATCACCCCAGGATTGTTTATAGGGGAGTAGAGAACTTGAAAGATAATTTAGTGTGTAATCATATTAAACAAACTAAATCTACACTAAGTATATTCAATGAGTCTGCAGGTTTCTACGGATGCGGCACGTGTAGTGCCTGCAAAAATACTGGAAATAAAAAGAGAACAATTAAAAAATTCCATAATCCACAAAAAACAAAAGAGACATACAATATTAGGGAATTAATTACATGCTACTCAAAAAGAGTCATATACCTGATAGGATGTACCTGTGGGCTAGGATATATAGGAAGGACAGCAAGACCTCTCCAAGTTCGTATTCAGGAGCATATAAGGAACATTAAAAATGGCTTTGAAAAACACAGTTTGTCTATGCACTTTAAACAACATCACAATCAGGATCCAAAACTGTTAAATTTTATTGCTATCCAGCTGGTTAAAACAAACTGGAGAGGGGACGATCTTATTAAAAAAATGGGACAGGTAATCTAAAAATTGCTCTCTATCTGTCTCTTTAAGAAATTATTCTTTTTACTTTTTTAAACTTTTAAATACAAAATTTTAATTAGAATTATTGGAAATTAACTACACACTTAGGGGAGTGATTTCATCCCTAGTAAAAAAACTGGAAATGAATATTGATCATGAAATATATGCACTTTTCTGCACATTGAATATTGACGTTAAGAATGTTAATAATTTAAGTAATATAAGAAGATTGCCTTTATATTAATTTTATAGCAATTTTTCATAAAATTTACAGAAACTGTAACAAAAACAAATTTAATTATTTTTTATTGATTATATCACTTTAACTTTTAATTGACAATGATTAATGAAATCAATATACAATGAATAGGGAAGAAATCCATTCTGCAGTATATGTATTTACTATAGATACTGTTAAGAACAAGTATGAAACTGTATGAGAAGATACTAATATGTACCGATGTGTGTTTTTTCCTTCCTCTTTTCTCTGTTTTATTCATTTTCTCTAAAAAAGGGTGAAATATGTATGTGTTTAACTTAGGGTGATGGGTGTCGGTGAACCAACCTGTTCTGCCACTTTTTTTTTTTTGCTTGAGGGTATGTGCCCATTGTTATGGACAGATGAATTAAAATAAAATGGCTATTTACTAATGTCTATTTATTCTCTGTTCACTATGTTAAAACTGGCTTCTAGAGTAAATGTTCCCTTCCCCCCCCTTACAATGTGGTCAGCTGCTGTTTACTATGTAAATTCCTCACATCCTGCTAGCCTCCCCTTTGTGCCAGTTAACAGCTATATGCCATATATAGCTAAATGGAGGATCATTGGTTTAGAACTGATAGATACCACTCACTCCCCCTTTCTCCGTGTATCTAAAAGTGTGTAATGATGACACTACATTCTGTAGGGGGGTTTAAACAAGAGGCCCCTTTCTCTGTTAACCAATTGGTGAATGTATACTGTATGTTTAAACTGTGACGTATTTTTGCTTTAAGAAGGAGCCCCCACTCCGGGCAATAAAGCATTCCTGGGTTTTTCACTGATCAGAAACTTTGTCTCCGGTGTGAATTACTTCTAGGGAAAGCGTGCACGCATTAATTAATCAATTTGGAAGGTGTAGATAGACAAATAATCAAAGTTTTCTTTGATCCAAAACAATTTGGTGGAGAATGCGGGCATTTAAGGGATACGTTACTAAGGCAGCCGTCAGATCCCAAGACAGGAGAGCAAAGGATTCCCAGAGATTGGAAACGGAGCCTGATCACCTCTGCATATGGTAAATGAGTTACTTACCTATATTTTCCTTTCTTTGGATTTCTCTTGTTCTCCGTGCCTTCACATTCGGCTTCCGGTGTTTAACGTCTTCAGACAGGTAATATATATATATGCCTGAATGTCCCCTTTTATATAGAACCTGTCACTTGTCTATCTACAGCCTGAGTCCTGAGTGAGAGTTTTATGTGTGAAAGTGTCTGTTTGAGAATCTGTTTTACTACTTGCTTAATACTGTTATATAATGCTGCCAAGTGTGGTTAAGCACTTGCAGGTTTAGCCAAGTTCGGGTTTGGTGGAAAACCCCTGGCTCTATATTTATTTTAGCTAAGCTTCGGTAAAGAAGTTATTGCGAGACTCGGTCAAGAGTTTAAAAATAAATAAATAATAAAAAAAAAAAAATTATTTTAGCTAAGCTTTGGTAAAGAAGCTAGTGAGTGATGTTTTGGCCTCGTTTGGTAAAAAACCTGGCGGTTCCTTTGTTTTATTAAGACTCGGTCAAGAGTTTAAATAGCTAAGCTTCGGTAAAGGAGCGGGTTATGTGCTTGAGTGTTTCTGTGTGTGTGATTTGATTTATTATAAGCCGGCATTTATTTTAAGAACTTTGTGATTTAATTACATCTGTATTTTGTGCTTTTGTCTGTGTATGTCTTGTTAGGTACCATATATGTTAATTGTAATCTATACAATTTGTATCGTTACTCTCCTATTCTATCTTTTGTCCTAAGGAGAGCTGTGCTTAGGCAATCACATGGTTAAAAAACTTTGTGCTTGCAAGTCTTCCTCCCCCCTCCTTCTTTGTTGCTTTCTCTTGCTCTGACTGCTATGAGTATTGGCTACAGGGGGTGGGGTGAATGGGTGAAATGCTTGTAAACTCAGTGAGGAATGTGAGGGAAACAAGGTATATTTGCTGGACGAATAACCTAGTTAGGAACTTTGTGTAATCTTGTATATGTTAAGTAAGAGGTTATTGGCATGTTGGAATAAGGAAAGTTAGATTTTGTTGGAACAAATGAATTGTGGAATTTATAAATGATATCGCAGAGAAAAGTAAATTGCAGTTTGCATGTAATAGCAGCTATTCAGATGCTGTTTTGTGGCAATCTTTATACACACAATGTGAAATTGCCAATAGTGAAATTGACAAGAAATTGTTTGTTAATAAGAAAAAACAAAAGATCAGTTAATTAATGAATTTGTGAAAACATTTCAAGATCTAGATCCAACTGCAATTGTGTTAGCTAGAGAAAAAAGCACTTTGACAGAAGTAGCTTTGTTCTTGGATAACTTAAGGAGGGAAACCAAGAATGAAGGGGTTAAAACGACTTGTGGCTTTAGGCAGAGAAAGAAGTGCAGATGTTACAGCCCCCGTCCCCCTCCTTCTTCTTCTTCTTCTTCTAGGACAGAGTGTAGAGTGATACAGACAGCTGAGCCCCTCCCAATTTATTCAACTAGAAATTGTAGAGTTAATCAAGGACAGAATATAACTCCCAAAGTTATTTGTTTTTGGTGCAATAAACAACATTATTTAAGATCTTGCAGATATTTTATCCGAGATATCAAATCAAAAGCAAATGAGAAATTAAATTTGTTGATTGAAAATTTTGACAGAGAAAATACATGTGGAGATAAATCAATAAAAGCCTTTCCTTGTAAACTGATAATCAGACAAATAAAAGCAATTTTAGCTAAATCGAAATTAGGAGACAGACAAGCAATGCAGCGTAACACAGAAAGTTATAAGAATCAGATAACTTCAAGAGATATGATCAGTTTAGGGAATGAGCATGGATATGTCTGCCAACAGAGGTACACAGGCTGATTCCAGAATTAAGAACAGCCAAAAATAGAGTTCTATGTTAGTTTGTTTTAATGAAATGTTAGTCTGAACTGTTTTTTCATTGTTTTATATGTATTTTAAGAAAGTATTAGGTTAATTAATTAAAATAAAAATGTACATCAAGTTTGCAAATATGGCAGAATGAAATACACTAATGTAGCAGTGAGGAACATGCAATGTATGTTATATTGGGTGTATGCAATTATACAGTAACTCCAATCATTTTACAGAAGGTAAAAAACAATGTTGTTACTTCTGAGGTTGATTTAAAATCTTTGATTTAATTAATGAGAATGAGATTTTAATATCATGACTGATAATGGATTACTGTATATTGCAACGCCTGGACATACACATGTTTTGGATATACTGAAGACAAAAGGAATAATATATGGGAATGGATAAGGCTGATTTCCCCCTATCCACAGCCACGCCTACTCCTAAAGTAACATTGCGTACATCCTTACTATGCCCTTTTACTGTAGAATTTCCCGAATCCTAATGACCCATTCCACTACATGGTGTGACTTGTTTAAGCCTAAGATAAATTGGCTGATCAGGCTACCTGTATTAACAATGTCATCAACAATGAGTTAGCATCTGTGGAGAAGCATCACTTCAGGTTGTCCCAAATTTTCTTTTAACTTAAGTTTTAGTACATACTAAGGCCCATGCCCAATAACTATATGCAGCCTTGTATAGCAGGCCACATGACATCTATTTGTACCAAGCAAGGCCTGCCTGACTCCTCATTCCTGTCTAACATTGTTGTCTCCTGCATAAGTGTAGATGGCTCTCCTTGGAGTAGCCTGTTAACTAAGCCTTGCTTTGTGGATACCTTCACCTGTCCAATTAATCTGCTAGGTGCAGATGTCCTTCCCCCACTTGCAGGCCCCTATCACCTTATTATTTCTTTTGTTCCACACAGTGAAACCTGACCAAGAGGCAAGGGTCCTAGCTAGTTCCCCCAATACCTTTACCTGAATTATACAGGCCCCAAAGCCTGTCCAAGCTCTTACTATTCCCTAACAGGATAAGGCTCTGGTGTCGAATGGTGCCCTGGTTACCTGAGACTTTCCATGCAATATCCCACCTCTCCTTGTGATGGACGAATTCTGTGCAGGATAATGTCACCCTGCAGGGATGATACTCTATTTACCTGGCCACTCTTCTGCCACTTCCCAAGGGGGGAAATGATAAGACACTGACTATTATTTTTTTTAGCCTTTTTCTTATGTTCTGTTCCGGATTTGCTGTCACTACAGTGGACCAAGTATCTCACCTCAACAATGTCTGCACAAGAAGCTGAGCTATAGACTCCCATCACACCATGCAAGATCTCTGAAGGAAGACTGAACTCAGAGGAAGCATGTGGCAGCTCTCTGGCTGACTAAGTTGTTCAAAAAGTTGTAAGTGCACTAATGGAAGTGGACAGAAAAGTGTCTGCTGAAGAAACTCCCATATTCACCATGTAAGATCCTACCCACAGACATCAAGCTCCCGAAGGAATAACAAGCAAGCTACTGACCCTGGAAAGAAAGAAAAAACAAACAAACCACAAGCTGGAAACAGAAAGGGGCAACTCTTAAAGACAGGCTGTACTTCAACAATCTCAAGTTCTACTTGCCCAAGAACATATACTCAGCAGTGGTCCAGTGGGCCTACGGAGCATCTGTCCAGAACCCTCATGAACTCTTTTGATCAATAAATACTCTGAAGTATCAGGAATTGCCTCTCTGACCAACAGTTACTGTAAATCTTGTGCCATTTGTGCCAAGGGCAACTCAAGAAGAATGGATGAAAGCCCCAAGCATCTAGCCAAACCTCATTATCTCTTCCAGAGGAGTCAAGTCGCCAGAATGCCAAAGAATGGCTGATTCAAATATGCACTAATTATAGCAGACATGTTTTCAGGATGGCCAGAGGCCTATCCAGCCACCAAAGTGATAACCAAGACCACATGCTGAGTAGTGCACCGTGAAAGATACAGAGATCACCCCGTGGGTTCATCATTCCAGAATCAAGCCTGCCTCTGCATCATGTGAAATAACATTTGTTGATCTTGACAACCCTTTTTGAAACTCCATTCTTAGAGAACAAAGATACTTGTTGAAAATAAATAAATAAATATCAACAAGTGGGTGTTTTGATGGCCATAATAATGCCTGACCACCTGCCATTGATGGAAAGCTGAATACCCCAAAAGGGGACCTCGTGAAACTAAAGAGAAACAAACATACTCCTTACCCTGCAGCCCTCACGTCTGAGGTGCCATACGCACAGTCAAAGCTTCTTCAAGATCATCTGCTTATCTTGAGTTTGTGGTGATATTAATATTGAATGTTTAAATGATCTGAATCTGCCAGTACTAGGGTAGCATGAGACAAGATTTCTAAGAATAAGTAAATGTGCCCTAGCCTAGGTTATTATGTCCATACACATAACACATGACAATCCCCAAGGTACTCTTGACACACCTCATTCATGCTTCAGGACAAAAAGGAGTACCCCTATAAAGGGTGGTTTTACCCACACATACATATATATGTATATTAATGCCATAGGGGTGTCAAGGGGGGTACCAAATAATTTTAAGGTAAGAAACTAAGTTTGAATCTATTCTCCCAAGCATTACGGCTAATAAAATCTGAATTGGAAGGGAAGAGGTTTATACAATAAACAGGAGACCTTTTTCTTACAGGACATGTATGACTCAGCTGAATGGGTAGGTGCCACGCACATGACTGTTAATCCCCTCAAACCACACATTAGGACTTTAAAAGACATGGTAGTCATCCCATATTTGAGGATAAGAGGGCTGTAGAGACAGGTTTCTCTGACACTAACTTGTGACTTGAATGGATGAAATACAATGCTACTAAACATAACAAGTCTAACTGCTATGTCTGCAGAGGAGCGAGGCCTCACCCAGGTACAGTATCCCTGAACCTTCCTCCGGATATGAAGTATGCGTTTTAAGTCTCTACACTGTATTTAAACCTAAGCGGTCAGCATGCGAGTCATGGAAACTTAATACCCAATCATTACTAAAAATATTAACCCAGACGAAGGCATTACTATATAGCCCGGGAACGATACTTGTTATGGGATATATGGTGGGATAGGGCGGTTACAAACTATCTCTCAGATGACCTTCCAGAATAGAATAAGCTTGGAAATGATTTTAGCAGAAAAAGGGAGAGTATGTAAAATACTCCCAGACACCATGACATGCTGTACCTATATTCCAGATAATACAGGCCCTAATGGTAAAGTAACGTTGGCAATAGAAAAGTTAAAGAGTTTGTCCAATGAACTGAAACGAAATTCTGGGGCCACAGATCCATGGGAAAGATGGTTTGGATGGATGTCTGAATGGCAAGGTGCTCTGGCCCAAATAGGTGTTGCCATTTTAATAACGATAATCATCCTCGCTCTTCTTGTTTGTTGTGTGTTACCCTGTCTTAAGAAATGCCTACAAAAAACAGTTGATCAGGCAATCGACCAGACCACCCCGACCTTCCTTCACCAAGAGATTGACGATATCGACCGTGATACACCACATACACCCTTACAGTCCCACCGCACTAAATCAACAGCTACTTCCTCTTAAGGACATTTAGGGATAGCGTCTGTCTCTACGGGCAGAAGTCTGCCGCGGGAGAAGTAGTGGACAAGCTGCTATGGGGTACCCGCGCAGTGAAGTGTTCGAGGCCTGTTCAGACAGATGTGCAAGATAGCCTTTTGTTATTTTTCTATAGGGACAGTATTAGAATGAGAGATAGTAGTTTTAGTAAAAATTGCCATTTTAAGGGGGGACTGTTATGGACAGATGAATTAAAATAAAATGGCTATTTACTAATGTCTATTTATTCTCTGTTCACTATGTTAAAACTGGCTTCTAGAGTAAATGTTCCCTTCCCCCCCCTACAATGTGGTCAGCTGCTGTTTACTATGTAAATTCCTCACATCCTGCTAGCCTCCCCTCCCCCACTACCTTTGTGCCAGTTAACAGCTATATGCCATATATAGCTAAATGGAGGATCATTGGTTTAGAACTGATAGATACCACTCACTCCCCCTTTCTCCGTGTATCTAAAAGTGTGTAATGATGACACTACATTCTGTAGGGGGGTTTAAACAAGAGGCCCCTTTCTCTGTTAACCAATTGGTGAATGTATACTGTATGTTTAAACTGTGACGTATTTTTGCTTTAAGAAGGAGCCCCCACTCCGGGCAATAAAGCATTCCTGGGTTTTTCACTGATCAGAAACTTTGTCTCCGGTGTGAATTACTTCTAGGGAAAGCGTGCACGCATTAATCAATTTGGAAGGTGTAGATAGACAAATAATCAAAGTTTTCTTTGATCCAAAACAGCACCACCTAGAGCTCTCCTGAGTAATTCGCCCCACAACCCAGCCGCAGCACCCCGACAACCTGCAGTGTGTCACTACTGCAAACAACCAGGACACTTTAAAAATCAGTGCCAACGTTTAAACCGGGGAAACTGGGAAAGGCAACCTCCACAGTCACAACCCAGGGCCGCTGCTCATTGTGTACAGCAGGAGAGTACATCATGGGTACCTCCCCACGAGGAACAATGGAGTGTGTTGCACGAAGTCAACCCTCTGCAAGCCGGGGTTGACAAGCCGGGTGGTGGCCCGCGCCTTAAGAGACTCTGGGGCCACATAACTGTGGTTCAACCACACACTGTCAAAGCTCAAACGCACACGGGCCGCACTGTGGCAGTAAGGGTCGCCGGGGGTGCCATTCACAAATTACCCACGGCTAAAGTTCTTGTGGATTGGGGCTCGGGATCTAAACAACTAGAGGTTGGCATTATGCAGGAGCTACCAGCCGAAGTACTGTTGGGGAATGATGTGGGCTGTTTAACTTCCCAGTTAGCCCGAGACACCACAGCTGAGGCGTGTTCGGTTACCACCCGAGCTCAAGCCAGACTGGAAGCACCGCTGCACTCTGAGGAAACCCAGGTAGGAGTTGACATCCCCCCTTTGCCCGACCCCCCTCACTCGTTCTGGGATACTCCCCAGGGGTTTGAGCAGGAACAAAGGACTGACCCCACTCTTGCCAGGTATAGAAAAGCAGTAGGGGACAATAGGGGCGACAACCCCCACGAAAGGTTTGAATGGCATAAGGGACTGTTGTATAGGGTGACAGATGGGGCGGGACACGGAACCGCCCAGGTTACTAAAAGACAACTGGTAGTGCCCCGCAAGTTTCGGGCTGAGTTACTAAGGCTCAGCCATGATATTCCTCTAGCCGGACATTTAGGGGTTAAGAAGACTAGGGACCGCCTGACCCAAACTTTCTTCTGGCCCAGGATCACTCAAGACCTCAAATACTATTGCAGGACCTATGACGTTTGCCAGAAAATAGGGAAACGGGGTGACCACCAAAAAGCCAAGCTCCACCCGTTACCCATCATAGAAGAGCCGTTCCACCGGGTAGCGGTAGATTTAATAGGACCCCTCAGTCGGCCCAGTCAGTCAGGTAAAAGGTTCATACTCACCGTAGTGGACTATGCCACTCGGTACCCCAGAGCCGTAGCCCTTCCCAATATAGAGGCCGAAACAGTAGCCGAGGCCCTGGTCAAAATATTCTCCCGGGTAGGTTTCCCCCAGGAGATCCTATCCGACAGAGGGACTCAGTTCACAGCTCTCCTGACACAACAGCTGTGGCAGAGCTGTGGAGTGAAAGCCCTCTTTAGCGCCCCATATCACCCCCAGACCAACGGTCTCTGTGAAAGTTTTAACGGCACACTCAAGCAAATGCTAAAAATGTTCGCAGAGTCCTGCAGGAGCTGGGAGAAGTATCTTCCCCATCTTCTGTTTGCCTATCGTGAGGTGCCCCAGGCATCCACGGGGTTTTCCCCCTTCGAACTCCTGTTCGGGAGAAAAGTTCGGGGCCCCCTGGATCTCGTACGGGAGCACTGGGAGGGCAACACGGATGATGGGGGGATCCCCATTAGGGATCGACCGATATTGATTTTTTAGAGCCGATACCGATACCGATATTCTGTGAACTTTCAGGCCGATAGCCGATATAATTTGCCGATATTCTGTACATTTACCATTTTGGAAAATAAAAACTATTTCTAAAGGTAAATGCACAAAATATACATGCCACGTGTAGTGGATGCAGTGGATGCAGTGTGTGTCTTTGTGTAGTGTGTGTGTGTAGTGGATGCAGTGTGTGTCTTTGTGTAGTGTGTGTGTGTAGTGGATGCAGTGTGCGTTTGTGTAGTGTGTGGGTTGTGGATGCAGTGTGTGTTTGTGTAGTGGATGCAGTGTGTATTTGTTTAGTGTGTGTAGTGGATGCAGTTTGTATTTGTTTAGTGTGTGTAGTGGATGCAGTGTGTATTAGTGTAGTGTGTATATAATGAAAGCAGAGTGTTTGTGTAGTGTGTGGGTAGTGTGCGTAAAGTGAATGCTGTATATACTAAATGCAAAGTGTGTGTGTATATAATGAATGCAGAGTGTGTGTGTATTTGTGTAGTGTATGTATAGTGAATGTAGTGTGTGTTTGTATAGTGTGTGTATATAATGCAGTGTGTTTGTGTAGTGTGCATTATATAAACACACTATGCAAATACACTGCATTATATACACACACTATGCAAACACACTGCATTATATACACACACTATGCAAACACACTGCATTATATACACACACTACACACACAAACACTGCATTATATAAACACTACACAAACACACACACACTGCATTATATACACACTGCACAAACACACACTGCACAAACACACACTGCACATTATATACACACACTACACAAATACACTGCATTATATACACACACTACACAAATACACTGCATTATATACACACACTACACAAATACACTGCATTATATACACACACTACACAAATACACTGCATTATATACACACACTACACAAACACACACTGCATTATATACACAGTGTGTTTGTATAGTGTGTGTATATAATGCAGTGTATTTGTGTGCATTGTATACAAACACACACTATACAAACACACACTGCATTATATACACAGTGTGTTTGTATAGTGTGTGTATATAATGCAGTTTGTGTGTGTGTATATAATGCAGTTTGTGTGTGTTTGTATAGTGTGTGTATATAATGCAGTTTGTGTGTGTTTGTATAGTGTGTGTATATAATGCAGTGTATTTGTGTGCATTGTATACAAACACACACTATACAAACACACACTGCATTATATACACAGTGTGTTTGTGTAGTGTCTGTGTATATAATATAATATACATATAATATAGTGTGTGAGGGGGAATTTTTTATTAAATTATTTTTATATATATATATATATTTAATTATTATTTTTTGTCCCCCCTCCCTGCTTGTTGCCTGGCCAGGGAGGGGGGATATGACAGTCCCTGGTGGTCCAGTGGTATTGGCTGAGCTTTGCGGGGGCGGAGAGCAAGCGCTTACTCACCTCCCAGCAGCTCCTCCAGCTCCCCAGTGTAACTCTCGCGGCCAGCGTGTCGTGCGGAGCGTTGCCATGGTGATCCATGGCAACGCTCTGACGGCCGCGGGTCTCGCGAGAGTTGCACTGGGGAGCTGGAGGAGCTGCTGGGAGGTGAGTAAGCGCTTGCTCTCCGCCCCCCCAGGACCGCCGGGCTTGTAATGAGCCCGGCGGTCCCAGGAGGTATTATCGGCAATATCGGTATCTGAATTGGCCGATACCGATATTGCCGAGAATACCGAATATCGGCCGATTATATCGGTAAAACCGATAATCGGTCGATCCCTAATCCCCATACTCCAATACGTATTGGAGTTCCGCGACCGCCTGCGAACTCTCACCGAATCAGTTCGGGAGAATCTGCAGACGGCCCAGGACTGCCAAAAGAGGTGCTACGACAGGGGTGCCCGAGACAGAGTCCTAGACTTGGGCCAAAAAGTATTAGCTTTGAAACCCGCCAAAAGGGATAAGCTCCAGGCGGCCTGGCAGGGACCCTTTAAGGTGGTGGAGCGAATGAGCGATACCACCTACATCGTAAGCAAATGTTCGGATGAGAGACTGACCAAAGTCTTCCATGTAAACATGCTGAAGCCTTACTACGAATGGACGGAAGATGTCAGCGCTGTATGCACCCCCTCTTCCGAAGATAGCGAGGGACTCCCACTCCCGGATTTGTTAGATTCCTCTCCCTGCAGTATTGACCAGGTCAGTCTTGGTCAGAACCTACAACCTATAGAGCGACAGGAAGCGGCCGGCTTACTCCGGGAATACCAGGGCATGTTTTCTGCCATCCCAGGCTATACCTCCGTTGCGAAATACACCGGGTAGATACCCAGGGAGAGACGCCACTACGGCAGCAGCCCTACCGCATTCCCGAGGCCGTGCGTGAGAGCATGCTGGCAGAACGTGCCGACATGCTCAAGTTAGGGGTAATAGAACCCTCTCAAAGCCCTTGGGCCTCTCCGGTAGTACTAGTACCGAAGCGTGACGGCACCACACGCTTCTGTGTAGACTACCGGAGGCTCAACGACCACACCATAACAGACGCCTACCCCATGCCCAGAATAGATGAGTTACTGGACCGTATGGCCGGAGGTAATTACTTAAAACAGGAAAGTATCAGCGCTATTTGAGTATAGTATCTTAAAATTTATATATAATCCAAGCAGCTGCTAACCACCGTGAGAATCTTTTAAACAAGAGTGATAG